TCTCCATCAACTGCAAGATGCTATCCTATCAATATGGGCCAACATTTCTAAAGAATGCTTTCAGCACCTTGTTGAATCAATGCCACATAGAATTAAGGTAGTTCTTTAGGTGAAAGGGGGTCAAACACCATATTAGTATGGTGTTCCTAATAATCCTTTAGGTGAGTGTATCTGTTACGTACTGTTGGTAAAAATTATGTTTACTTTGTATTTGTGTGAAGCAGATTTATTGAAAATCCCCAGATAGTTATGTCTTGTTGTCTGTCAGATGGAGAGAGGAGTTCATGCTGAAGCCTTTACTGGAGCTCTTTTCTCCCCTTCAGCCGTCCGATGACGACACGGTCAGCCTCCACTCGCAGGTGTCGGAGACGCCGCGGGACCTGACCCGGGCAGAGGCCTACACGCTGAGTGCCAAGCACAACTCGAGTAAAAGAACGCGGCAGCAGACACACGCACGTGAACATAACGAAACACACTGACTGGAAAGATAGTCTCCTAAGCAAATTTAGGCCAGCTCTCATTTTACAAACATGAGGTTGGGGGCGGGGGAGCGTGTTGCTCAGTGGATTTGGATGCCATGCTTATGATCGGAAGGTTGCTGGTTCAAATCCCATGGTCGGCGGAATGATTCCACTGTTGGGCCCTTGAGCGAGGCCCTTAACCCCCATTGCCCCAGGGATTGTCAGACACTGCTTTCTCAAGAAATCTATGTCACTTTGGATTAAAGTATCTGCTAAGTAAATATGATGTGAAAAGGTGGGTACTCAGGTCCAAGCCCACAAACCCTGTATTACTTTAATAGCTTAGTGGCTGCTTCTGATAGCTGTAGAGATGACCAAAGCAAAGCAGGTGAAATGTCTTGTCTAAGCATACTATTCCTGAGCCCACTGTAAAAGCAGCAAAGTGTTGGTTCTTTGCTAAAATGCTACTGCTATGTACGATATCCTTATGCTGATAAGCTGTCCGTTTTCTCATAACTGAATGCATGTATCCTAAGCAGTGTCTGGGAGTACAGTACCCTTCTTCCACTGAAATCTGATAATATTAATCCCGGAACAGTGTAAAAATGAAACTTGGTTTTGCATAAACTGCCTTTGTTAATCGTTATGACCCGTGTCCAGATTTCCGCCCCTACCATGATTGCTTGCATCTCTGATTTCTTTGCATCTCCGTGAAAGCTCTTCCCTAGTGTGCCAACTCACGGTCACCTTGGGAAGCCACACTTACATGTCGACTCCACGAATTTAAGTTCCCAGAAGATTGAGTAGCAAACTTGAGTAGCAACCTGGCTATGAAATATGAATGTCTGGTGAAGGACAGCTAAAACGGTTCCTTCTGCAAAAAAAAAAAAAAAAAAAACACATCGTTTTTCCACAGATCGGGAGTCCAGCGACTTTGCAGATCTCATGGCGGAGGAGGAGCTGCCACTGACCGAGGGGGACACACAACACAACATCAGCTATGTGGCTTGCCTGAAGGTTAGGAGCTAAACTAGGCCATCTGTACTCCTAGGCAAATAACACCAATGGAGTTAAGCAAACTGAGCTCAGACATTCGGGCTGGGCTCAAAGTAGAGATGTTGCTGCTCCTCACCATCAACAGGAGCCAGCTGCAATGAATTGGGCATCTGTCCAACTGTGAGGAGACCTGTGATATTATATCTCTTGGCTGGCCTGGAAACACCTTGGTAACCCCTGGAGAAGCTGGAGGAGGTGGTTGAGGGGAGGGAGGTCTGGGAATCTCTGCTCAAACTGAACTGCTGCCCCCGCAAGCTGGACCCAGATCAGCAGCAGAAGATGGATGGATGGATGGATGGATGGATGGATGGATGATCTGGGCCGTGGCCTTAATGTTGATCTAGCAAACTGACTTTGTAGTTGGCATAATGTTTTTGCTTTTTCCATCCCACTTATTTGACACACACTCACAATACTGTATGCTTACATTCACCCTTATTGCTTTTTCAGCACCTGTTTCAGTCCCCTCCCCTTGCCCATATTTCATTTGTTTTGGAAAAGTTTTTCCCTTAAATGTTATACTGAAGGAAAATAAATTCCTGTTTTCAAAGCATAATTAACTTGTATTGCTGCCATAATAGGTCTGGGTCTGTGTGTGTGTGTGTGTGTGTGTGTGTGGGGGGGGGGGGGCATGTATGTATTACATTGTGGGAACCAAATGTCCCCACGATGTGATGAAGGCCTTTTATTTTTCAAATTTCCCCAACATGGAAAACTCAATTTTATAAAAAATCTGTGAATGCGATCAAAATAACTTAAATAGCCAACAGTCTTGTATTTTGCTTGGTTACTTATGGTTATGGTTAGGGCAGGGTGGGGGTTAAGGCTGTCTTAGTTAGCTTTAGCATTTTTACCATAGAAGTGAATGAGCGGGCCCCATAAGGATAGGTATACCCGGCGTGTGTGTGTGTGTGTGTGTGTGGTTAGGTGTATTGGCAACCCTAAATAACGTAATTGTTAGTGTGTGTCCTGTCAGTGATGGATCCCCAGTCCAGCTGTGGTTCCTCTGTATCCTGCAGTCATGTGCTGGATAAGTGCTTATGGACAGTGAGTGTATTTGTAGGGGTTTTACTCGTTTAATCAGATTGATGGATGGGTATTTTGACGGGAGATGGGAAACGAATAGAGTTATTGAGATGTTGGACAATTTTTTTCATTTTTGAGTTCCATGAAGAAAGGTAAGGAAGAGTAGGGAGATAGTATGATCATTCAGTGGAGAGAGCTGTTGAAATGAGTTCTTCCCGTGTTGAATTTAGGTCTTAGATTTAACCAGATATTTCTCGTTGCTTTAATGGTATGGGGTAAATGTTCATTTAGAGCAGGAATAAGAAGAGCAAGTTCAGAAATGATGTGCAGAGATATAGTGTACTCTGAGGAGAGCAAATTTATATTTCTAAAAGTAGCTTAGGAATAAGAAAGCAAAAGGCATTTAATGACCAAATCCCGTTGATATGTTAATAAGCAGTTCCATAACAGTGTCAGCAAAATTTAAGGGTAATGGACTATCGCAAGTTAAATCCCTTTATCTAGCACCATGGAAAGCAAAAGATGGTCAGAGTACCCTGCTGGGAGGGATTACATGGTAGGAATAATCAGACAGAGAACCCACAATGGAGTGCCCAGAGCATGTTGATGATTTTCTGCTATGTGAGAACATTAGCATAACAGGCCAGGGTTAGTGCTGAGAGTTGGGGTTTCTTATTAAGATGAACTTTGTCTTTTCTTTAGGAGCTCGAGAGGGTGCTTCAGAGTGAAGATGATGACCTTAAAGATGAACTTGGGTGAGTGAGCCACCCTTGTCCATAGTGGACACCAGTGTTTCTTCAGGTACAGGGGATTGTGTGTGAATGTACCATTCCTCCCTTTATAGTTCTGAGAAGGAGCAAGTTTCAGAAGATGAGGAGAAGGTGGAAGACCTTATGGAAATCACTGACCTAAGTAGCATGGCGGATGAGCTCCTGGAACAGGAGCGGCAGCACCGGTGTGTTCCGGAGGCCATCCATCCTCACGTTCTCACGCCGACGTTCTTATTAATGTTCTAGCGTTAGCTGTACAAGTCAGAACCTCTCAGTCCAGGTTCTCTCACTGTAAGGAAATGAACATGAATTTACATCTGAGAATAATCAGTTTATGAACAGGGCAACTTTGCACTAAGATAAGATGGAACCTGTTGATTCCCAGCTTTACAAAGAAAAATCCCAGTACAATAGCAACGGGCCACTGGCACATGAGCACAGATCACTGTTACACTGTTACAGCAGGACATAGTGGAAGGATGGACAATCCACATTGACAATTCATTACAATTCATAATGCACTATAATGGTCAGTATAAGAATTAAAGATGCTTTGTACACATTATGAAGGTATTTATAGTGCATTATAGATGACAGCTTCATTGAGCTAATGAACATAATGCATAATTAACATGGTTATAATGAGCTTTTTTTATAAATAATTATAGCTGTGTTTATAATACTTTATGAATGCATCTATAATGCATTATAAATGACTTCTATAAGTGTTACTAAAAGAACTAGTTGAAAACCAATATCTGAAGTCTTACATCCTAAAAACAAAACTCAGTTTTCTTAAATATAGAACACTTAAAATAGTAATGTGTGATGTCTTGATATACTATAGATTTGACCCAAATACGATGACGAAGATCAATTCACTGATGGCTGAGTTAACTGGAATAGTGCAGTGAAATTCAATGATTATGTTAGCTTCATTTAAGCCATAAGTGTGCCGCCTATGAGTGGGGAAATGTATTTACAGTGGCCCTAAAGCAGGCAGAAGTTTCTAGAAAAGGAAGTTTGAAATGTTGAATGGGAGGTGTTGTGTCAGACAGTCATTGAGAATAATTCCATTACTGTTTGAGGTTCATTATTTTCATTTACATGCAGCTGATCTCTTAATGGTTTGTTTTCCGCTTTACTACTCTAAAAAACCCCAGTAATTTTCCTGTTTTTACTTTCTCTTTCCCTCTACGTTCTCTTGGCTCCTGTTGGCGTGTCTGGTTTTGTGGTTTCTGCATGGCATGTAAAACCGAGTCATCAGTCCCTAAGAGCTCGTATTAGCATCCTTATGGGGGAACAGGCGGCGCCGTTCTCAAATTAGACACAATACCTCCACTGTGGTCATCTGCTGAGAGACAACACTGGGATGCATGGAAAGTGTTGCACCTCTGAATTTGACTCTCGTTTGATCTGCAGGTTCCTCAGCCATTCTGAAAACGGCACGTATTCCAGACGAAGGCCTCCCCCTGGAGCCTTCCGAAGGTATTCAGTCTTCCTCGTGTTTTCCCTATTTGCCAAGGGGTGGCTGTTTAACAGCTTGCTTTTGTATTCGAGTTCACTGTCAAAGGTTCTACTTTAAAAGAAGTCATCAGACAACATTCTCTTACTTACTTTAAGTTGCATTTATTCACTTAGCAGATGCTTTTTCCCAAAGAGACATACAAACAAGGAAGATAACACATCATGAACTTGAGACAGATAAGCTATAATTGCACCCAGAGGTGGACATTTCAGGTCCAGGGAGTACTAACCCAGACCAAGATTTAGTTTCAACCAACCACTTGAGTATAAAGAGTCAAAGTCACAGAGTACTCAACTGGTTGGTTGAGACAAAATCTCGGTCTATATTTGTACGCATTGGACCTGAAATCTCCACCTCTGGTTGCAGCTAAGCTGAGCTTCCATTGAGGAGTCATTACCAAGTACAAGTTAGTTGAAGCAAGATCTATGCAATACAGTGCAACAATACAAGATGGTGAAAGAAGAGTGATTTAGGTCAAACATCACAAGGAGTAGGTTCTTACTGGAGAAGTGGAAAAACAGGCACTTAAACTATAAGATGCTTAGTAAAAGCCGTATGTGCTAGTTTCTTTTTGAAATTCAGTGCAAAGATTTTATTTTCACTTTTGCTGAAAACATCGGTAAGTGCCACATCTCTGACGGCATGTTTTTCTCCCCACTAGTGCCTCTTTAGATGAAGGAACCATAAGGAAAGATTTTACTGGCCGGGTAAGTAATTTATCCATAATATAATCTGGCAGTTTGTGCAGTTATTGTTTCCATCTGCCATAGCTTGAAATATATAATTGTGAAGTTTTTAACCAACGTTGTAGTTCCCTACTTAGTCAGATTTCAGTGTGATGCAGAAACATTTTTTATACTTACAAGTCAGTAGCTTAGGAATAAGAAAGCAAACGGCTTTGACTGACCAAATCCTGTTGATAACGTGTTGATAAGCAGTACCATAACCATGTTAACAAAATTTTAGATCAACGCATTATCAAAATCCCTTTGCCTAGCACCACAGAAGATAGAAGATCATCAAGATATTTAGAACTCCTAATTAAAAAAAAAAAAAAATTTACACTAGCCTAATAAGAAGCGGTGGCTTGTTGGTCACGGTGTTAAGGTGGCTGTCAGTCTTTGTTTAATCAAAGGCTCCCCCCGTGGAGACAAACATAACAAATATAGTAGGTCGGTAACAACATATGTACTGCATGGTGAGGGGGGTGTGACATGCTAACAATTAGTGCTTCTTGATTAGCACAAAATTCAAGTTAAGTCAAATTAAATTTATTATCCCTCTAGGGGAAATATCGTTGCAGCCAGGTGTTAAAAACATAAACAACCTATCAGAAATACAACACAAACAGCAAACCTCATAAAAAGAATTTATATCTTCGTGTGAATATAAAAATGAGTCAAGTTACAGAGTGAAAAAAAAAATGAGTGGCATATTATGAAATGTTGGTTAAAATGAATGTAACATATGCAGGGGTGATCTAAAGAAATTTACGATTCTATAACTTTGGAAGATTGGTATGTGATACACAACCAGGATTAAATTTTCATTGTTGGTGCAGGTGGAGTTTTTCATACCTCTCCCTTGAAAAAGCAATAGATTGGCATCCCGTCAAGTGTCATATAATTGAAGTTTCGTCTCTGGAAAAAAATTATATTAATTTTTATAAGTGAAAGATTTTCTCTTCTCTGATTATGCTGAAACATTAAAAGTAAAACGGTAAAATTAAGTATCTTTATTATTGTGCCCTGTCAATATCCCCTGTATAGTAATTATCTCCTGCATTAAAAGTGCCCTTGTAATGTTGTAATTGGCACAATCTTGACCAATTATGCCCATTTAAGCTGGTGGATGAGGCATTTACTGTCTTCTCTGAATAGCCACATTATTTGTCAGAATCCCCTGACCACTGCTGGTTTAGATTTTGTAAAGGATATTTATTCTATGAAAATTGGACTGTAGAGAATTGCAAATGCATAACAAATTGCATTTCAATGCATCTAATTTAGGTTGCCAGTTTTATTTCTGCTTCACTGAAGTGCGAATAAAGACGAGCCAATATTTTAATGATTGCATACTTGTAAACATCTAATACTTAGGAAGCCTGTTCCTAAGAACTCTGTGATTTTTGTCGGGAACCTCAGTGTTTTTCAGACATCTTGGCATTTCCTGCATTCCCTGCAGGCCAAAACTTTTAGTGAAGGAAGAAAACACATCCTGGCAAGCAGTTCTGGAATGTAATTCGCATGAATAATTTCATGGGGAGTTCTTTAGAAAAAGAGATTCTCAGATATTCTTGCTGGGGAAATTCAGAATACCAGCTTAGGACATTCTGGTATATATGCACTGAAGTCAAACAATGTCCATTCACAGATGAGCCAAATTATTATGACCCCTCTTATATGAAGAAAATTACGTCAGCTCACTCATGGTCTGGGATATATTAGACAGTAAGCTAATATTTGGTACTGGTAGTTGACATGTTGAATGCAGAGGAAGTGGGCAGGGATAAAGACCTGAGTAACTTTGATGAGAGCCTACTTGTTATGACCTGATGACTAGGTTGAAGCATCTCCAAAACAGCAAGGCTTGTGGGGTCATCAGCCATGGTGAATACCTGCCGACCACTGACTGCTGACAGGGTGTTGGGCAGCCAGGACTCATTGGTCAGGACTCATAGTTGCGAAACTCAAATGAGTTGAATGGAATTCTAGCGACTTCCACGTGCTCCGCTAATAAAGATTTAAATCGCGTAACTATTTAACCAGCAACTAGCATCCGTCTGAATCTTGCAGATAAATGTTAGCTTCTAAATGGAAAGAGGTCTAGTGACAAAATCTTGCATGAGAACCATAACTTTTTCTTGCCAGACTGCTATGATTAATTCACTGAGCACCAAGATGTGTCAAGCCTGCAGTCCTCGCCATCCCCCCATGGAGAATGATCAGCTGATTCTGAAAACACTTCGTAGATAACCTGAACAGTGAAACGTGGTGGTAGCCCACAAGCCAACAGGGCTACACACTGAGAACCGCAAGGTACTCAGGGAATTCTGGAATTTATCGATTTGTTGCCATTGCCCAGCTCACATCAAAGGGGGTGTTCCACAAAGCAGCATTTCTCAGTTAACTGGGTTAACTTAAGCTATAAGTAATGATTGTCCAATAAGAGTTTAAGTGAAGAACATTGCAACTGGGCAATCGGTATTTTGAGCTTAAGTTATCCCAGCTAAGAAATCTTGCTTTGTGTAATAACCGCACAGAAGTCTTGCACTGAATATAATAATGCATATTATGCTGTAAAAAGTACATTTCTGAAAAGCAAGTTTGTTATTTTATTGTCTGAAGGAAGCATGCCCTGAGGCTTCTACTGTAACTGCATCAACAAAGGCGTCTTCATTTATCATCTTCAACTGCTTATCGTAGACGGGCCTGGAACCGATCCCAGGCAGCATAGAGCCATCCAAATATGTACAGTATTCACCTATACTTAAGTTAACCTGGAAGCTTTGGCATGGAATTGATTCTATTGGTTCCTCTGCTGAGCCTAGAATTAGTTTGAAAAAAGCTCACGCATCGCGTGCCTTTGCACAGATCGATGTCGTCCCCACACTTCTGGCCTGGGAGTTAGACGTTAGACGTGGGGCTTTATATGTCTCTTCATTGAAACACTTGGCCTTTTAGGTGGCAGCTGTAATTCAACATAAGATGAGGCTCCTGAAAAATAATAATACATTTAATGTAATCATTTAATATTTGGTGAGTGATTCTAACAGATGGATAACACAGAATTCGAATCTTGTCTAGCCACGAAAAGTGGGACATTGCTATGCAAATGTGTTGTTGTTGTATTTTGAGATGGAGAAAAACATACGTAAATGCAATCACATACGTTCATCAAGGATCTCAAGAGATACAGAGGCAGTGAGGAGTCCTTTTTAATCTTTAATCTTAATCTTTAATCTATTTTCCGGTTCTGATTATTGTGGGGGCTACAACCCCCCACCCACCCCATAATTTACACCCATGGGGTCTCCAACCCCAGTCTTGGAGAGCTACTGTTCAGTAGGATTTCTGTTCTACCTGGCTTCTGATGAGCCACACCTGTTCCTGGTATTTGCCTGAGAGCAGGTGTGGCTCATCAGAGGCCAGGTAGGATAGTAGCTCTCCTGGATCGGAGTTGGAGATCCCTGCTCTATGCTATGCCAGCCCATCACAGGGAACACGTCCGCGCACACAATCACACACTATAGGAAATTTGAGGGTAGTACCTGACATAATTGCATGCTGGAGGAACCTGCAACCGGCAGAACCTAAAAGAACAGAAGGCGAACATGCAAACCCCCCCACACAACAATGAAATCAAACCCCCAGCCTCGGAAATGTGAGCATGCAAGGCTGCCCACTGCACCATCCCCAGATCAATTTGAATAATTATTTCAAAATATCTAGATATATGTCTGAGTAGTTTCATTTCAGCTGAGAATTAACATTTCACTTGATATCTTCATTTTGTTGGTTTGGTAAATTTGCGTAAATCAAGTGCCACCCCCCCTCCGTTTAGTAATCCTTTTTAAAATTTGTGAAGCAGGACAAGGAAATGTTAGTGCTGTTTCTGCAAGTTTCTTTTCTAAGGAAGAAAGTGTTTTGGTGAAAGCAGATGTTTTGGGTGGGGCATTAGGGGTGAGGAGTTCATACTAAAAATATTGCCGAGATATTAATGGTGTGTTTACAGTATGTGAATAGGCATTAGGCTCAGTGGAGACTAAGTTTTCAGTGTACAATGCAATATTAGTTTTACCCTTAAGGTGAACTGCTCTGTAAAAGTTATGTAAGTTTAAGGCATAAGCTTTCCAAAGCTTATGCCTTAAACTGTCGGCTTTCCCAGGAAGAAATTTTTATTAGCGGGTTTCTGTCCTATTGCAAAATACTTATGAAAAACTATTAAAATAGGTGTTGTATATAGAGCATGACATAGGCTGGTATGGTTCCTTGGATACACCTTTGGCAGGAAGCCAACCATTGCAAGGCACATACATATAAACTGCAGGAAATGTATTAGCTGCGTGTTTGTTTTTTGGGTTTATATTAAGCTTGCGCTTAGGAAAATGTTGACCTTCACTGGTTTTCTGTTTCTGATCTGGTATTTAAGGTTTCGACACAAGATGCTGTCTAATCTCCTCTCGGATTAACTCGTGACCTTGTGTGCTGTACTCCCCGTAAAGTTTTCTACTTATCGTTGCGATTCCATCACAGCACAGCGTTCGTTTCCACCTGCATGTTTTCCCCAGCTATACCCATTGAAACAGTCCCACTGACTGTGTTCCAGAACAATCTTAATGACATAATTTCTAGAATAGTGAAGTCCAATATAAAATACAGAGTCTTGATGCACCATGAACTGTTTGCTTCTCTTTATATTTGCATGTGCCAAAATTAGGATGGAGTGGATTCTGCGGACTTTAGCACAGCTGTGTTTGGTTTAAAGCCAAGATCAGGTAAGAAGGCAGATTTATTACAAATGCGTGTACTTTGCACTTGCACTCATGCTATATCATACTATTTTCATACTGTGGTCATATTCACAATTCACATCAGAAGGATTGCATACAGTACATTGCATACAAGTAGATAAGCCAAGGATGATTATTATGATCATTATTATTATTATTACTGTTGTTGGCGGTGTTTGTTGTTTGCTTGTTGCTGTAATGACTCTGTACTGTATATTGTCTGGTGTTGCTGCTTCTGGGTAGCACAGGTGAACCACGTCGTAGGTTAATAATCCTTGAAATTCCTTAACATTTTCCTTCTCTTAACAAGCTGACTGGACACTAGCGCCAGGCGACTGTTTTTCGACTCAATCAAAAACAGAAAACTTTCATGAACTGTCCAAAGCAATAAGTTACCTACCCTATAAACCACAAAAAAAAGTAATATACAAACACGTAATGCAGTTTCCACTTTTATATCATTATATTACATGTTTTCTCTCAGCCGTTGAAACCTATCACCTTCACCGTCTTGTCACGATGTCACGATGGTTATTGCAGCCAACACAAATGTTTACATGCAACATTATTAGGAGAGGAATTTCTATAACACACAGCAGTTTAGTCTTTCTTCTGAATTAGGGGCATGATTCAGCCTGTACTCATCTAATCATTGTAGATTCTATTATTGCACGCATCTATTTCATTGCTCCTCTATTTATTATTTACTGGGAAACATTGTGACTTTTTTTCCCAAAAGCCGCTGGTAATTCCCCGACCTCCCCCCCCCCCCCATGAAAATAAAAAGATGAAAGAAGAGTCAGAGAAAAGATCATACATGATGGTACAAACAAAGCTTGATCTAAGCTTGATGTCAGTGCCACTCAGCCCATTTGGCGTCATAGACGGCTGCTTAGGGCGGCATCATCTGAAGAAGCCCGGGATTAGCTAACTGATTTCACTAAAGTAGTGGGCTAAACCAGTTAGAGATTGGCAGCTGCTCACCATGGATTTGGGAGCCTAGGAACTCCTTAGACCAGCTTCCATGTTCTGGAGTCTCAAAGTGAGAGAGAGGCTGTGATGGATCACGTGATTGTAGGCCGTTCAAACTCTGCTGTTCATTATTTCCTTTCAAAACCATGTCCTATTTTCAGAATACAGCCCGCTGAGGGTCAGCATCCTGTTAACTTCCTCCATTAAAGTAAAAATGGGGTAGAGAGCTGCTTCTGTTTGTGGCCGATTACCATTAAGGTGTTGGTTTCAGTTCAAGATTAATTGTAAACGTTTTGCACAAATGGCGCAGCCTTTTCCAGAGGAAGTTGCCAGGAGTATGGGCCTGGCTTCACAATTCGAAGGAAACTGGAGCACATCAGAGAGGAAATGGAACAGATCAAGATTCTGCGACAGGTGAGTTATGTTGTGTTTTGTTCTTTGTGGGCTGCACTTACCAATGTATGCTCTCAGCTGGGCGATGTTTAAACACTGGGTTAGGGGTCTGTGCCTGTGTCTGAAAGGTTGTGGGTTCAGTTCCTGGTAATCACATTGGGCCTGAACCCCCAACTGTTCAAGGGACCCTGGCTCACGCTGCTCTCAAGCCCAAAAACATTCCTCACATGTTTGCTAGTTTTGACAATAGAGCAAGATAAATGTACATTTTCAAAATAACCTGAACAGAGACCATTTTTTACTGGAAATATGTTTTTATAACTAGTCTTAGTCTTGACCTTTGTCAGTTATAGTGTCTAATTGGATACTTCTAAATTTTGTATTTTAATTTGAACTCTGAGAGCCTCAAAGGACAGTTAGCAAAGGATGAATGTTCTTGTGATGATGCCTGTACAGAACCTGGAGTCCAGGCTGAAGGTACTTCTTCCAGAAGATGTTGGCACTGCGCTGATGGACGGGGTGGTCCTGTGTCACCTGGCAAATCACATTCGGCCTCGCTCTGTGGCCAGCATACACGTGCCCTCACCAGCAGTGGTGAGTATATTTCCTGCTTTTCATAAAGCCAGTGTTTCCCAACCGGGGCCTTGGGGCCTACAGGCAATCCACACTTCTGCTCCCTCCCAGCTCCCAGTAAGAAACAAAAACTTGTAGGATTGTGAAACCCGGCATTAAGCGAATTACCATCCCATCCTGCTTAGGGTCGCGTAAAAATGCTGTGCATTCCAGTCAGGGGTCAACACCATAATGGATTCTGAGGCACATTTGATTTACAGTGTAATTTTTGCCACAGGCATGGTATTTAAAAATGTAACCTACTTAGCTTTGCCATAGAAACCAATGAGTTTTGCTACAGACACATTTGTCAGTATATGGACAGGTTGACAATCACTGATTTCAGTCGTTGTTAGTCATTGAGTCTGCATTACCAGCCTGTTTGTAGTTAACTGATTTGGTAAAACTTTTATCAGGAATTGTATAAAAAAGTAAATAATCCCCCTGCTGCTGATACAATATCAAGTTGCAAAAGAACAGCACTCAGAATCAGCACAAAGAACTAATATACTAATACAAATACTAATGTAATACTACTGTACTTTGCTAATACTATGGTATTACTACTGTAAAGCAAACTGCCACGGATAACAAGAAAAACACAAAATGTAGCTGCATAACACCATTAAAGGAAACTGCCTCAAGCCGTTTTCTTCTGGAACATCTGCCGTGACTGTATTTTGAATGGTATGGTTCCACAATCCACAATTTCCTGTTATCTGTCCTGCAGCCAAAACTGAGCATGGCAAAATGTCGCAGAAACGTGGAGAACTTCTTGGATGCGTGTAAGAAGCTTGGTGTACCACAGGTAAAAAAATCATCAGCACGTCGGTCTGGGAGGGGCCCTGTCTGATGCAGAGAATGATAATCCAGACACATCTGGCTGATATAATCAGAATCAGTGCAAGTGTTCACAAATAAGCCCCCTTTTGCTTCGATAACAGCATTGCAGACTCTTGGCATTCTTTCAAGCAGCTTCCAGATGTAGCCACCTGGAATGCTTCTCCAACAGTCCTGAAGGAGTTTCCACAAGTACTGGGCACAAGTTGGCCACCTTGCCCTTACTCTTTGATCCAACTCATCTCAAACCAGCTCTATAGGGTTTAAGTGGGGGGATTATGGGGGCCAGGTCATCTGTCACAGCACTCCATCGCTCCATAACCTCAAGGTGTGCTTAGGGTCGTTATCTTAAAAAACAAATGATTTTCAGTAGGTGTGTCCAGACTTTTGACTGGTAATGTATGTCTCACCAGGACAAAATATGTCTGCCGCATCACATCCTGGAGGACAGGGGGCTCGTTCCGGTCGGTGTGACGGTCCAGGCTCTGTTGGACTTGCCGGCGCTGAGGCCGACCCAGCTGTCCGCCGTGTAGCTCACGTCGCTGCCCCGAATCTCCCCAGCCCTTACTGGCGTCCGCCTTGCAGAGCAGAACCTTGGACCGGATTGCCCTGGAGCCTCGGCGTAGCACTGCATCTCGGGCCGGATCGGCGCCCAGACCACGTACTTGAAGGTTGCTACACCCAGCTCACCCCCCTAGTGTATGTGGTGAGCGAGAACGTTTGTCTGTAGCTGACTGAGGATGGAGAAGATATTCACGCTTCCCATCTGTATGAAGCCATCCTACACTGTCCTTTTCTTAGGGGCACTGGTTTTATGTGAGTGCGTGTTGGGGGGTGGGGGTGGGCAGGTTAATACTACTGCAGCCATATTCCCCACCTATCGTTTTTAAACTCAGTTTCTCTGAGGGGTTAGTCCGGGTTGTAATTTCAAAGATAGAAAGCGCTCAGGCTTCATATTCGAATTTGGCACAATCACACAAAACTGACCCCATAATTCGATCTGCTCTGTGAGAGACAGCATTGTTGAGTGCAGTGTTGTTGACTAGTATCTGACATTGGTCTTAAAGTGGCGAACTTCCACATAGCCTTGTTTTGTACCTTCAGGTCATTTTTAGTAAACATCGTTGACATGCTGACTGACTTGCAGAGCATCAGGTCAGACTTGTAGTCTCTCCTGCTGTTTGTTTTTTATTTTAATGCTGATATTTGCTGAACTTTTTCATACTTTGACTTGAAATATTCATAACTTATTTTTCATGACGGTCTTTCATGTGGTGTCATTGCTAATGTGTTGGTGTTATTCTGTCTCACTTCTGATGTCGTGCTGCTGCCAGCATGATCAGTGCCCTAATGTCATTTCCAGAAACGGCAAAGCAGAACGATGGACTGTAGTGGAAGCCTATGGGGTCTTGCTGCTGACAGGAACACATGACACAGGGAAGGGGGTGGGGGGGGGATATTTATTAGCGGCCTGGGAGTTTTCAGGAACCGAGCACGGTCATGATTGACACAAGATATGGAAAATAAAAAACAAATTGTGCCATGTGCAACAGGAAACATTAAACAGGAGCAAGAGTCTGAACAGGTATCTGGGTCTGCTTAGGTTTAACGGCAAATAAAAAGAGAGAGGTGTTGGCTCATCCCTTCAGACATGAATGAGCTGGATGGAGTGACGTGCGGACAACTTCAAGTGCTTGACTCTTTCTTCCGGCTCTTTCAGCTACGACCCTCTCACCCTTGAAACAATGTAGTTCTGTATTTCCATTGTTATATACAATCATTTATGTTTAGTATTTATACGCTCCAGCTATGGGCCACCACCCCAGCCTCGTGCTGCTTGGGATAGTCTCGAGGCCCCCTCCTTCCACCCAGACCAGCGTAAGCGGCTACAAGATGCGATTTTCCAATCCCTCTCCATTGATTTTCAAAAAAAAACAAAAAAGCCTCTATTTGTGAACCTATGAACACCTAGTATTCTTGACTTCAAATATTTACTTTATAGTCTTTCCCCCCCCTTTTTTGTCTCCCTTTACTCAAATGTCACCTCCTGACCTTATGATATGAGGGTCAGCCACAGTTCTTTCATGCTGAAGAACGTGGCTAGCACACAGCATGGTCTGTCTTCATGGTACATTCACATTTATGTAATGAACTCCAGGATAAGAGTGCCATTATTCTTTGTTATCCATTATCCAGGAGCCGAGAGAGATGAGGAACTTTTAGAGATTTTGAGGGAAACCTCTTTAGATGTCTCTTTAGAGATGTTCCTGTAGAGACAATCACGTCACAGTCCCGTGTAGACATCATGTGTTCATGTTTCATATCACAACTAAGACTTAACTTATGCTGACAAAATGAGGTGCTCTTCCGTCTACAAGCAGGTGATAGCAGACTGACTGATGGTCTGCACCAAAGAACAACTAAAACATAAATTATCAAGTAGGCCAATTGTGCTAGAATAGTTGGTGACTCTCCAGGATCGAATTTGACCACCCTTGGCTTAATGAGAGTTGTGCCTTATGTCCAGATTTCAACACCTGATACCAAAGTTTTATTCTGCTGATCTTGTAGACCAATGATGGTAAGTTCACCCAGCTGAGTCTGCATATGATCAAGGCTGACATGCTATTATTTTTACTTTCATATGGTTAAAGAAACAATGTGAAATACATTTCATGTGTAAATTTTGTTTTAAAGGGCTCTTAGGATATTCTCTGGATACAGATCAACAAAATACCATCACTTCACACAAAAACATTCAACTTTTTTGACATGCAAACTTGTGTGTTTTTCAGCCACAGATGCTAATGGATAAATTCTGGGTTTTATTAGTGAGGAGTTCTAAACATAGACGAAACTGAACTCACTAAACTGGGCTCATTGTTTATAAATACTGAATAAAAATACCTGAATGTCATGATGGTGCCAAAAAGCACACAAAAACAAAATGAAGTCCCAGACTTCTCTCACTGCACAGCTTTTGAGCTTTGAAATAACTGACGGTTTCCCAGTTGATTTCCAGTGTAACTGCCAAAATTGTTTCCCATTGCAGTTAACCTTGGAAAAATCAAGTATTTGTACCCTAAAATAGAATTCTGAAACATTTCAAATGTATCTTAAGAACTGAGAGCTGACTTTGCTGGAAATTGTCATTTTGCCAACCGCCCCTAAAAAAAAAAAACTTCTTTTTAAATATTTTTTTTTTTATCCAAATATGGTCAAGTGTGCAACATGTAAATGTGTTCTGTATAAAGTGTAGGATGACTGTAGAATGAAAAATGTTTCACTGATAAAGATAATTAAAATGTGACTTTTCTTAATGACCAGTGTATTGTTATGTTTTTTCCTCTTTAATAATTATTATCTCTTTATTTTGATATTGAAGGGATGATATCCTTCTGCTGCACAGTTATAAAATATCATTCACATTTGTCCGCGCAGCTGTGTTGAATCTCCAAATATAGCATTGGGCAAAACGATCTAGATGTCAATCTCGACTAAAAAAGTTTTAATGAAAACTTTACAATGTAAATCTCAAATGTTATCCTATGATGACTCTGTTTTGGGTTTTAAAGGGAAAGTTCACCCCAAAATTGAAAAATATATGTATTAGGGGGGCTTTAGTGCTATCTATCCGTCTATGTCGTTCTGCTGGGTGCTGCCTAGTTTTGGAGTTACCAGCTGTGGAAATGTCGGTGTTCTCTCGAATACAATGGGACTGAATATAATTCTTTATGTGATGATTAAAGCACCAAAAAATGCATTAGAAAAATTCAACAGCAACGTCTGTTACCAAAACTCATGAACCGGGTACTCAGATAATCCACAGACTTAGTAGTGAGCAGTTTAATGTAGGAACTACTTTTGTTCCCTACCGAACTCCACACGACAATGGTATCACTGCGCCGAAGATGTCGCCTGGGTGCTCGTGCTTCTATCTCGTGCACAGTGGTTTCGATTGATGTGTGGAGTATGTACTTTAAAATCGCAGGTATAGGCTGTAGTAGTACGTATACGGAGATAAATACAGTGATAAAACGTGATTCCATATTTCTAAATAGAGAACTGCGGAGACCCAAGTGCGGGTAACAGGGGCGTTATTTGGGGAACAGGCAAACGGAGATAGAATCGGCAGGCTAGTTTCATAGTAAGGGTCACAGATCCTAAGGAGTGACTCCTATACAGGCACGGGAGATAAAGGCTGGTAATGAGGGGAGCGACCGGGGGAAACGGGGAAGAGACAGGGTCGGGACTGAGACGGAAAGGCAGCATGTCAGGACTGGCCGACAGTCAAGACACAACACTTAGTAATGGCATGCAATCAATAATACCCCGCACTGGGGGCAGACAGGCTTATAAAGTGAATAACAGGTGGGACCAATCAGAGCTGCTAATTGTCTCCCGCCAACAGATGATTGGCTGAGTGAACTGTCAGTAAATTTATATGGCACATTGCATAATGCACAAAAGCACCCTGCAAAGCCCTGGTCTAAACAGTGATGGAGCTCAGCTGAAGAGGGTGATGTGAAGAAGGTTCTTGAACACATTTCTTTCTCTTAGGGCAGTCTTCATTTGATAACAAGGTAATATTTATATTTGTTTTATTACATTTATAGTAAATATTACTTTTAAGTTTTTATATATATATATTAAACACTAAATTTGTTATATACTATTGTAATATAACAAAATGTTTGCCACTTATATCTGCTATATGACATTGATCTAACTGCATTCTGCTGTGTGATAGATACTTGATATGAAAACACATCTGCAGAGAGAATTGTTGCATTTTAAAATAAAAAGTCAACAAAGAAAGCAGTGATTGATATGGTTTTACAGCACCAATTTGTGTTAATGTGTCACAAGTAGGCAATTATAAAAGTAAAGAGCTTAGTAGAAAGAAAATGCAAACTACTGTATTCTGCATACTGAGGTATGCAAAATGTAAACTATTTTGCATTTTTTTCACACACACACACACAGACACACACACACACACACATATATATATAAACATGCTTTGTAAATCTATATGTATTAATTTCTCAAAATTTTCAAATTCACAATTTGCTGTCTTAGAGAAATGAATTACGCACCACTGAATGGTAAAGCGCTTTGAGACAATGTAATATTGTGATAATGCGCTATACAAAAATTAATTTGTTGTTGTTGTTGTTGAATGGCTAAATAGATCCAGGCCCTAACTTTGCTCTTAGCAGGACAGCAATGACTGGGACCGTGTGCTACAAAGCCCTGTGGGAACTGATGGCCTTGTTGGCATTAGCAGAATTCTCCAGCTGTGAGTTCCCTGTTAAAACAGGTATGTAGAAATCTATAAATAGGGGATGTGTGGTTTCACATGTTAATACAGATTTACAGATTTACTGCTTCTAAATTTTTACCTTATGTGTTGACTTCAACAGAGAATTTAGTCCTAATAATAATGCCTCTTATGCAGAATGGACTGAGACTGCACTTGTGATCTTCTGTTTCTTGTTGCCCTTTCACTTTGACTAGTAACAATCTTCAATAGAAGACTTGCAAGAGTAACTGAGAAACAGTCACAGAATTTACGTAAGAGGAGGGAGGGCTTTCTATGAAGATCTGTTACAGTGTGCCTAACTTTATATGCTTTTCTTTGTAGCCTATTCTCCAACTGACTTGAGAATAATGGACCCTGGGCGGCTGGGTCAGCTTCACATTAACTGGACCGTGCCGCCAATCCTGCGCAGTGTCACCGACTGCTTTGTTCGTTTTCAGCTTGAATACAACAATACCTATGAGAACAGGTCGCAGGTAAGGAGAGGGTGGTGCTCACCACACCAGAACTGTCACTTACTGATGACATGTTTGAAGAATTATGATCTAATGGTCAATGACCCCTGTTAATGAAGTATCTAATGATGTTTCTAGTCATTCAGAAGATTCTTTGACCCCAAAGCAGCTCAGTTTTGTAGTATGTCCACATGCATGGATGGATCTATGAAATGTTGTTGTTGTTGTTATTACTGTATTATTGTGAGATGTGGCAAGTGGGTGAGAAGTTGTACCAGTGGTTCCGTTCCTTAACCTGCTCAAAGCCAGTCTTACAATTAGATTCGGAGTTGGGCTATTCAGATCCAGAGAGTAAAAGTCCAGACCAAGATTTTGACCCACCCAACCATTTGAGTGCTCTGTGACTGTGACTCTTTATGCTCTTTATCCTTTCTGAGTCAGAATATTGTCTTTTCATTGAAAGATTGTCAGAATCAGAGAGAGGAGCTACAGTGCCCAGTTCGACTTGGAGAAGGATAATCATGTGAAGGTCCAAATTCTCATTAGCGGGTCTTGCGTAAACAGCTCTACTGAGGTCCAAAGCCCCCCCGTGGAAGCTGTACTGAATGCCCAGCGAAAAGGTATGTCACTGACAAGCCATTTCCCACTTGTCCAAATTCATAGCTCCTATTAGTCAGGTCTATACAGTGCATACAGATTTAAAACCTTAAGGCGCAAAATTCTGAGAAATAATCAGTTGGTCTTTCATGATGTGACATGAACCACTGAGATAAAGTGAGATAAGACAGAGAGTTAATAAACGTTTCCACTTCAACTAAAGTATGTACTTCTTGTAGTGCTGCCAGCTCTATCCTTGGATGATTACAATAACATAGGCGTTTGCAAAATTATTTTCAGTTTCAATGGAAATGTTTTCAAAAGACATGTCAAACAGCAATCACCACCACCATTAAGATGTTTCATGTACTTTAAACAAGATTAAGTGTATTACACATTTTTAAACTTCTAAATTCAGTAGGCATGGTTGTAAATGATGACCAACATCTGTAGTTTCGGTTTAAGAGATCATTTCTTGTACATGTATATCCCACAGGAATCCCTGGCTCCAAGATAAATGACTCCAATTGTGTTTTCTACAACTGGGAATATATGGAGTGCATTTGGGATAAAGGAAGAGTACAACATCCAGATTACCAGTACCGCCTATACTACTGGTAGGGATGCTTTGCATATCATAGATAAACATAGCATTTTTGCCTGTCCTGTGATAAAATCTTGGCAGTCATCTATTGCAGGCCCCAGTGAAAAAACCAGCTATGTAATGGGCAGACTTGACTTAAGGCCATGTTTTTTATAAACACATTCACCATTCATTATAATGCATGCATAAACCATTATGAACATGGCTATATATATTTATAAAAAGGCATAACACGTTACAATCATGTTTATTATGCATTATAACTGCCCTATGAAGCTCTCATCTATAGAAATTTAAAATGCAGTACAAAGGACCCTTAATGCTTTTGCTGACCATTATAATGCATTATAATGGTATCTATAGTGCATTACAGATGAGAGCTTCATAAAGCATTCATAATGCATAATACATACGGCTATAATGTGTTGTGCCTTTTGATAAATATTCATAGCCATGTTTATATTGCTTTATGAATGCAGTATTACTTGTTATTAATGTGTTTATAAATTACTAAAATCGTGACCTTAAGTAAAATTGAACTGAAAAAAGTGTCAGCTAAATGTCAAATGGGCACTGAAACCAGAATTAAAAGCTTAAATTGTTTTTGAGTACTCTTTCATTGCAGTGTATTTGGTTTGTGTAATAAGATACACGTTTTGGTAATTTTGTGTACATTTTCTAGCCCTTCTCTTTCAGGTAGCCTTCCTTACTTAACTGTTGCAAGTTTTCTCTCAGTGGTGATTTACTGTCTCATTTGTGACACCCCAGGCATAAGGGAATGGAACAAGCTGAGGAGTGCCCTCAATATATTGCATCAAAGGGAAAAAAGATTGGCTGCAGGTTCAACAGACAGTTTCTCATGGATTTCACAGAATTTAATATCTGTATAAATGGTTCTGCAGAAGGGCATCCTCTGCAGCCGGCCTATTTTACGAAGCAGATACAGAATCTTGGTAGGTCATTGATAGACTCAGGACTAACCCACAGCAGAAATTGATTCAGTGCCTGGTGATAACCCGTCTTCCTTTGTGTGTGTCCAGTGAAGCCAAGTGCTATTACAACTCTATCTTTGGAGTCATTGTCCAATGGACAGCTCAGTTTGAAGTGGTCACCATCTGTTGGGAGGGTCCCTCACCAATGTTTGGAATTTGAGGTGGAATCCGGTCCAGCGGGAGATGGAGATCTGATGGTAAAGCGCTACCTTCATGACGATCTCTCGTTTAAAGGATTTTGTTCCTTTTACGTTCAACCTTACCTTCCATTAGTCAAGTCTAAACTTGCAACCTAAAATTTCCTGGTTGAAGTTCCTGTGGTCTTCCTGTTGTATCCTTGGGATAGATCTGATCTGCCATTTGTACCATCCACAGCAGAAGAACATCACTAGAGAATCATCCATTCTCATCTCCAGACTGCATGAACATATGCCCTTCTGCCTAAGAGTCAGATGCAGGGTGAACCATTTTTGCGCCGACTCACACTTCTGGAGCGAGTGGAGCTCTTCACTTTGTTTACCAGGTATAATACCTCTCAGTTATTATTAGATATATCAGCATTTTCCTACCCTCAGTTCATAGAAAATTATGTGTGACATAGTATCTAGTCTTGTGAACATCAATTAACTTGATATAATTCTAGAACAATCTGCAATTCTTTTGTGGGTGTGTGCAATCTATAGACTGGAAGGTCAACTGCTTCCAAAGGAGGGGGGGCATGAGAGAAAATGTTTGATAAAACCACTGGTTGTAGTGGATTCATGTATTACTGAAGAACTTACTCTGTAATATCTCAGAGTACCTGAGTCACCACTGTACTGGGAATTTTGATATCTACCACACCCTCACCTGTGGTGGCATGACCTTGGTTGATCATAACATAGATAAATGATGGGAATTTTATACTTTGCAAAGATACAGGAAATGGGTGGTGATCCTGGGCTCTGATGTTTGTCTTTCCTGTCACTTAGCTGAGCCCGGATTGCCCCACATCCTGGAAAGTGACGACACTGCTTCTGGCTTTAGTGACGGCCTAGAGTCTGATGGAGAGTCACAGACTTGATGCAGTTATCAGGGCTGGCATCAAGACAATCTACAGCCTACTAAAGGTGAGAAAGGAAATAAAAGGCAAATACTTCTAACTTGTTGTCCTTCACAGGTCTTAAAAGACAAACGTGTTTTTTTATGTATATGTAGAGAAGCATTCATTAGCTATATTTGAATATTACATTATATCTTTTTTGGCCATATATCTGTGGATGACATTTTCCCAGATTAGTGTTTCAAAGGAGATAGATGGATGGATGGTTGGATGAATGGATGGATGGATCATGGATGAATGATGTGGCATCTGAGGGCTTTATAACACTAATCAGCTAATCAGGACTGAGATGGGTCGCCACACACAGGTATTAATTGTTATGAAAGTTCCAGAAGTGATGTGCCCTAACTTTGCATTTCATGGCATCTTTTTAATTAGTACTGTCTCAATATCATTTTCATCCCTTTGGTATTAAAAAAATATAGATTTTAGAAAAATTGTGGTGTGATGGGAGAGGGGGAAATGTTGCCCCCCCCCGATCGACAGTGGATATAAAAAAACTACACACCCCTGTTAAAATGCAAGGTTTAAAAAAAACGAGAAACAGATTTTTTTGTTTTTCAATTGCATTGTACAGGTTATAGGTCACATTGAAGGTAGGAAAAGTTTTGAAATGATTTATCGTGGTCTCATTTTTTTTTTCACATCACAAAAACCTGGCATTTTAATGGGGCTGTGTACACTTTTTATATCCATCGTATGGCAGGCAAAAACAATACTGTTTGTGGCACACGATGTATTTTTTTTATGTGTGCCAGGTTTTAAACCCTTTACAACACTTCAAATTTCTTTTTTGTAGTGCACCTTTTTGATACTGGAAGTGGGAGAGTCATTGACAGCTTTCCCGACATTTAATTTAAGTACAACAGCAGAAAATAGACTTGGATCATCATTTTGTAGTGAAAGATACACGTTCCTTATTAAGAGTGACAAACAGCCCGAAATATTCACTCAGTGATGGACTATGCAATCTACCAACAGAGGGCCAGTATTGTCTTGGGGAAACTTGGACAATGTGTACATCTCAGTATTTGAAGTTGGGGCAATGAACTACCAAACAGAGGAATGTTTGTTTTTCTGTTGTATTTCTGTTTCAAAATATTTCAAAAATGGAGCTGTGGTATAATCCTGATGTTAAGAATGCTAAAGTAATGCTGTGTAGTAATCTGAGCTGTAATGTTCATCAATAACAAACTGGACAATTCCAAGAATTACAGAATGCGAAATCTGCTCGACGTAACTATCTGTAGCTCCAGATTCATTAAAAAGTCTCTCTTGAGAAGTATGGAATTGTTACTTCATGTATCAAAATAAAAGATTAGATCATAAAAATTAGCACATGGCTTCTAACTGATAGCACTCACAATCAGTGTGCATGCTCCATGAGCAATGATAACTGAAATTATGTAATTACAGATAAATGAACAGAATGAAAATAAGTTCCTTTTCATTTTTTCTCTCAAGGCCAAGGCCAGAAAAGGTAATGAAGAAAAGAATGACTGAAGGAAGGAAGGAATACCTCATGTCAAACATTCACTATTTTTCACTGTATTTGACTGTATTTTTTTTTACTTATTACATAAGGTGATGTTCTGAAACATTGAAGACAGCAGCCATAAATAACAGCAGGTCTGGGATCTAGTGTGAAAAACATAAGTGAAAAACCATGCTGTAATTGACTAATTTATTTTAGGAACACTATGCTTTGCTTATAATAATAATGACACGTTATTGATCCCTGTGGGAAATCCATGACACCTATGTAGGGAACAGCAAGCTTGGCAGTGAAGGAGAGGCACATGCAGCAGTGCCCAATATTATTATTTAAGTGGCTGTGCCCATTCACTCTAACACTACTGATTTGGTAACAACTTAAATAGCCATAAGATTGACACATGAATCGGTGACAATAGGATAACCCATTTCAGTTTCTGGAATGACGAGGGAAAACAAGAGGGTATAAGATAATAATTTTGATTTTGTTGCTGAACATTTGTAAGGTTTGTTGACAATTAATTCCTTGCAGAGAGGAGGTGTCTCTAAACTTAAGTAACCTTAATAATGATAGCTACATTACAAATTATCCATCAACTGCATATCCTGGTCAGGATCATGGGGGGGTGCTGAAAGCTATCCTAGGCAAAACTGGACACAGTGGTAGAGGCTGAACAGGATGTCAGTCCATTGAACATTATTCTTGCCTAAACAGTAATCTGTAACAATGAGAATACAGAATGAATTGTGGATGTTTTTTGGCGGTAACGAAAGCGGTTACATGGCGCCATCTTGTGGAACTACTACATATGAACAATCCCAGACTGTCGGGGAGAATGATAATTGTGCCTTACTTGCTTACGTGGATATTTAATATATAAGACTGGGTGAAATTTGATCTAATGTTCACTTGAACAAATATTAGAAGGGTGTTTCAGCTGTCGCATGGGTAAACTTCTTCCAAACCCACATGTCTCATCTGAATTGATGGGTTTAATCAGCGCTAGCAGTAGTCTGAGTTGACGTTGCTCATTCTTTTCTAGATATATGTGGATCTGGTTATAGTGATCAACTACTGTACTTATATGAATCAAAAAGGTTGAGACAGAATCATTCCTGTACGCATACTGGTTAAATAATTCGCTTATACTAATGAAGTCGTCCGCCTACAGTATTCATTTTTGGTCATTTTTTTTACTTACCTACTTAGTCTTGCCTTAACCCGTCTGCTTCTGGCTAGCTACCCGAGGCTAATGCTGTGTGGACAGAAAACATGACAGGAAAAAGAAAGTCATTTTCTCTCAATTTGGAATATAGATTCATCAAAGCTTATGATAAACTCATGAAAATCGAGCCACTGAGATGCAGCAGCGAAACTACAATAAGCTATATTTTATGTACAATATTGTACTGTATTATAGCGTATTTGAATTACACATTGTTCAGTAATTTAATTTGTGCAGTACTGTAATTTGAAAAACATTTGAAACAGCTGTACTGTATTTTGAAATAGTCAATAAAATTCAGTAAATAGTGATGCTGTCCGTTTCATTACTTTATATTCATGTAATAAATATACAAATGCAATTAGATGGTAGTCTGCCTGAGACGTACAGTAAGGGAAAAAATGGTTATAACGATCATCCGCTTATAGTGATCAATCTCACCCAGACAGACGTGATCACTAGAATCAAGAGGTTTATTCGTTTAATGCTCTTCACCTCTTTACTTTTCGTCTTTGTACCAACTCTGTACGTACAACAAATTATTCTGGAAGGTGTCTGCTGCATTTCACGGTTCATGATATGACTGGGAAAATGGTTTTGTTCTATCTGACAGTCAAAAGTTTGTCTGTGTCAATGCAGTATTTCGAATATCGATTTCCTTTTAGGATCAGTAATGTTGAATATTATATTTATTTTGCAATAAGTCATATTGTACGCTTTAAAACCCATCAATGCTTGTTTTGAGCTCAAGAGAAGTCTTGCATTTCCTAACAAGATGCTGACTATCATACAATGTTATTTAGCAAATACACTTATAGTTTGGACAGATTTATTGAAAGCCTCCTGAAAAATTCGCCTTATTGATTTAATCCAATATCTTGCTGTACGTCACCTTGTTGCAAATTTGACAATACTACTCAAACGGACAGCTAGTGGAAAATGAAAGACTTAATAATAATAAATTAAATAAAATTAATAGAAAGGCCGTAGAAGTAAATGCCATTAAAATGTTGTGGAATAGTTTGATGGATTAACATAAACCTGGGAGGAAATCAGAAAAAAACAAAACGTTAACATACAGTTGTCCTCAGTTCGGCATGCAATGGCTAGGGGCGCCGTACTGTTTAGAGAATTAAATGATAGTTTATTATTTGTCTAGAACTAGATGAAAACATTCAGGTAGCATGCAATATTTTCTGAAATACCTTTCAGTACGAATGCATATTTTGAATGCAGTGTTACTTCCTTCGTACGCCGAAAAGAGTACTTTACTGATACGTTGTTATGCACGCATACATACATATACTCAGTACATACAATACATGCACACTGTAAAGCGGCACCCCCCTGTGTTGAGAGCCGTAAATTGTACTCCATGCCGGGGCGGAGTTAAAGCAGCAACCGTAGCTCGACGCGTACATGAAGTGTACCTCCATTATACGAAACGACACTGACACTTAACGAAAAAATCGTAACGCGTTTCGTCAAACCCTCATAATTACAGATTTTGCGTTTTCGTATTATTAATATTAGCGTTGCTGGGAGTTAAACCTAAAGGTTAAAAGACATCGCAGAACTAGCTGCATTAGCAGGTGAACTTAAATAATAGATTCGTATGGGCTTGTGATGTTTCTAGCGCCATGCACGGGGATCAGAAATAATAAGGTGACCGAGGAGGGAGCATGGGCCGAGCTGAGCTTTCGGTGATCCCGCACGGCTCCGGTATAAATCAGTCTAGGGGAACCGGCCATTGGAGATGAGGCTGGGTGAAAGGCGGGGTTAACGCGCTCAATGGAGGCTGTTGATTCTCAGTAGGTGCTGGGCGATGCACCGACGGACACACGGCGAGTGCATGGAGGCTCGGTAGTGGGTATAAATATTAAAAACCAGGGAAAGGAGGGGCCAGCAGTCATCCGTTTGCAGTTTGCGAGATGTCGACCGATTTTGCAACAGAGCCGAGAGCCCGGGAAATCGGGGTAGGGGTGGTTTGCCAGTATAATCCCGTTGATCTCTGACTCATGTGAAATTAAAAGTGAAATACTTCTCTTTTTTTTGGCGAGGAATCCCTCGCACGCAATCGGAGGCAAAGGTGCCTCTCGGTGGAAAAGGAAATAAGACAAGTTCACGGCGCTCTCTACAAAATATGCTAAAACTATTGCAAGTTGGGATCTTTAACCGCGTTTTTATGCATCGGTGTGGCGCTAGCTAAAGTGTTGTAGTTCGAAGATTTAAAGATATTAATTTCAGAGATATTTCCGGAATCTAGCTAAATTTGCTCTTTTATGATTAGCTCGCATATAGTTTTATTTTTTATTTTTTTTCACGAGCGTGTTAAAGACTGTAGTATAATTTAGCCTATGTAGACAGTATCAGAATTTGAGGTTGAAATACGCGAAGGATGCGCACCGAAAGCAGCAGCGCTGCGCCGGCTGCGGACGGCGGCGCAGACGCGCTCGGACGCGGGGACGCGGAGTCCAATGGTCAAGCGGAGCCGCGTAGGTGCGAGAGACCGCCTGGGGCGGGGGATCAATCGGCCGCCGCCGAATTGGACCCGACCGCACAGGAGCCCGCCAGTATGTCGGGGAAGCCAGATGATAGTAAGGGGGAGACGGGTAAAAGTAAAGACCACACCGTGCACCTAATCGAGGCGGGATGCGTGGACGGAACTCCGGCGTGTTCAAACTCCGGGACCCACGAAGCAGAGCCCGGGGACGCCGGAGCCGGACGCGGGTTCGCTCCGCCCGAGGGTGGCTTCGGCTGGCTTGTGGTCTTCGCGGCCACCTGGTGCAACGGCTCGATCTTCGGGATCCAGAACTCCTTCGGTATCCTGCACATGATGCTGGCGAAGGACCACGGAAGTACGAGTGACGACGCCTCCCAGTTCAGAGTGGGTGAGTGCGGTGACACCTGTTGATGCTGCCGGCGGCGATGCGACAGGCTGCGCGTGATGAGGACCCGCGCGATACCGGCCTGATCCTTCACGCCGCGCGCATGGAAGTGCCGCCCAATATGCTCATTAGTGTGTCTCCGTGTGTCCAATGCATTCAATAAAACTCCAATATTGTAATATTTGTGTTGATAAAGGGAATAAGAAGACATTAGACCCAAATTCCAGATAAACAACGTACTGATTAGATATAATGCATATTGTATTACACAATGATTAATTTCTTTCTATCAGTTCATCTCATGAGCGTCTTAGTGTATTATAGGGCCCCCGTTACATATAAATGATTCCCTGAATGTCTAACCATGTTCTCCTCCTCCGTTGTTGCCGCGGTTACGTATTTTCCTCTCTCTACTCTCAGACCCACTGCTTCTGTTTTTCATACTTGTATGAAAAATATATATAAAGCCTTCATGACAGAATTAATTGTTTGATCATTCCAGCTGCACCCCTCTGTTACTGTTTCCTAGTAATGATGCGTTTAATGCTGAGAACTTGTATGGGGACACAAACTGACCCAATATTGTATTATACACCCAAAGACACCTGCCGCAAGCATGAGTTTGCATCATATGAGTTTTTATTGCGTTAGTTAACTAGTTTACGTTTTTATTTCTTTCCTGCTGTCATGGCGATATCGTCCGTGGCAGTTTTCTGTTGATGCTGCCACCGCTGTAATGAACTGCCGTGCTGAGACTAACAATGCCCGCTTTGTTTTTCGAATACAAGGTAAAGACTGACATTGCAGGGTTTAAAGTTGCATAGCAGCCAGTTCCCTGTCATCTGCCTTCTGAATATCACCCATTCACTGGTAGTGAACTTTGAGGGAACTTATTCTGTCTAAAATCTGCACTTGATTGCATTTATGCTGCATTATGTAGTTATGGCTATTATCTTCCTATCATTCTTTGTGTAACTAATTCTGCACTGCACTGGGCTCTGACCAGTGGCCTGTACTACGAATTAAGGTAGTCTGGGCGAAATGTAGGTGAACGAATATGAAGTCCATTTAAAGCGTGGTACTTTAAATCCGACAAGTTACCCCGATAAGCCAGTAACCCCGCTTCGTAGTACAGGCCACAGAAGCTCAAGACACCATCTCTGGTGTTAATTTGTCACTTACAGACTTTTCATTCCTCAATAAAATCAGGACAACAAATGCCTGGTGAGGAGATTCTGCCACCATGTGCAGTCGTTGTAAACACTGGCTGTCACTCCGTTCCGTGGTATTATATTGGATGGAGGATTCTGCTTTTAACCCAAATAAGTCATTTATATCCAGCCTGTTGGATTTTTCGTTTTGTCCCCTGTATTGAAGAATCCTGGTGCAGGTGACAGAAATCGGCATTAGAGGCTCATTAGCCATCTTGTTTAAGTGGCTGGGTTGTCGCTCCCCGCCGTCTGTGTGTAAATGATTGAAAGGCCAAGGGAGTGAGAACCAGTCATTCTTCATCATCTAGAGCTTGTTTTTTTATGAGTTACCTGCTAACTTAAGCTGAACGGCGCACACCTTAAAACAGTTATGCTTGCTCATCATTTTCGATTCCTTTAAAGCGTCTGTTCAGTGGTTTTTCAGTGGGTCATCAAAGGAACCAAAGATGTGTGTTATTTACCGTGTTTATCCCCGTAACCACACTCTTGGAGGTTAATCTCTGAAAATGCATTCGCGCTTCTGTTGTCGTGTATGCTTTATTGGTTCTTGCCAAACTTCTCTGATAATTGGGACGTCAAAAACAAAACTATGATATCATAAGGGAGATTTAGTTTCTTTAGCAGTAGGTGGTGTTTTTTTTTTTGTTTGTAATTTTAATGCAAGGTTGCGTTTTGGCCTTGTGTAGAGAATGTTAATCTCTGTAAGGGGATTATGAGAGTTTACCCACCACACAACATGTAGCTCAGCTGGTGGAGGTGCTGGAGTGAGAGAAACGCTTTTACATGTGAAGAAAATGATCTTTTTCTGAATTAAGGCACAATTAGGTTGTGCATGAAACTGGTTGTCTGCTGATTTGTTATGTGCAATGATTTTTTAAGGTAGTTGGGGCGGCACGGTGGTGCAGTGGTTAGCACTGTTGCCTCGCACCTCTGGGACCTGGGTTCCATGTGTGGTGTTTGCATGTTCTTCCCAGGTTGTTGTGGGTTTACTTTGGGTTCTCTGGTTCTGGCCCCGCCAGGTCAAAGATATGCTGTGGCTAATTGGCGTTAAAAATTGCCCATAGGTGTGTGTGTGTGTCCAACCTGGGTCATTCCCTGCCTTCCCGATAGGCTCCGGACAGATGGATAATAATAATTGTCCTGCATTTTATACATGCACGGTATCACCTGCTAAAGTTGTTTTTTTTTCTTGTTTTTTTTGTGAAGGTCTTTCAAGATGCTAATTCTGTGCGTTTTGGAATAAGCTGGTAGCATAAAGTTATCTGATTTTTTTTTTTCTTTTTTTTTTTTTCCCGTTTTCAGTGGAAGGAGGGGGAATAAGGACACTGTCTAACAGCCTTCATGCTGACCCAGCACACGTCTTTAAATGCTGAGACCCACAAGGAACAGGGATACCCTGTACTTTATTGAACAGCCCTGCTTGAATAGTTCACTGCCTGATACTAGCAATACACTGTCCAGGACTTGCAAACACTCAGCCTGGTCAAGATGGTCTGTTGTCCACAGTGAGTGATGACATTCTAAAGATATTTTTGCTTGTGTAAATATTTTTCCCTTTAGGTTTAATATATCAGATGCCTACTGATTCCATTAAATAGGACACAAGTCTCTTACTCTTTGATGGTGAAACGTTATGGCATCATATTACATAAGGCCTTAAAATCCAGCCAGGCTTTTTATAGTGTTTGGTTTCAAAAATGGCTCGTCCTGTTTCATTTCTAACCCTCGTCGATCAGTTCGATTCTTCTCTGGAGTTTGCCTTAAGTAAGTCTTTCATTTAAAGTATCACAGAGAAATTATCCACCTAATGCTTTATTTAATGGTTTGAAGATTGAGATTTTCCTTAGCAGTTGAAGCAGTCTGTTTAAAGGTTTTCCTTTTTTGTTTATGTGGAAGTTTATTTGAAAGGATATCCCAGCCGTGCAATCTGGCATGTCTCCTCTGATTGGTTGAAGACAGGTGCCTCACTCAGGGGTTAAGCAATAGGACCCTTCTTGTAACATTAAGCAGTTACGTTCAGATTACCAGACAATCGCTTTAGCCTCCATGTCCCTGCCCTTTAAAGCATCCCATTTTTAGTGCATTCAATTCTGAAATGCATCTGTGAGTTATCTTAACACTGGGCTACTGGCATTTAATACATTCCCTTTTCCAGCTGTGCATAGAAAGGCGTCAGACCTTGGTTAAGACCACTTCCTGTTTTTAAGGTCTGTAATGGCAGGTAATTCAGTGCATTTGGTGTTGTGATTTGAGGACTGCTGCTTCTCAAATTGACAAATATATGATACACCATGTACTGATGTGTACCTAATACATTTTAGTGATCAGTGTTGACACATCACAGTGCACAACAACTAAATGTGTCATCTGCATTTAACCCATATATGACGTCGTGACATAGCAGGGGGCAGCTAATTCAGCGCCCGGGGAGCAGTGCTTGGGGGCGGTACCTTGCTCAGGGGACCTCAGTGGTGCCTTGCTGGGCAGGGATTCAAACCAGCAATCTTTCAATTCCAAGTGCGCGTCCCTAACCATTAAACCACCACTGCCCACTTTTACTCTGTTTTCTGCTGCTTCTTTGTTTAAGATTCAAAGGTTGATATGCATGCAGAATCCTGTAACAGGATTGATGAAATGGACGGATTGATGAAATGGACGGATTGATGAAAGGTCAGACATCTGGGCAGAATGAAAGTCAACCATCTTATGTTTTTATTTGAATATGATGTATTTGCATTTTACTTTGGTAAAACCTGGTATTGGCAGATCGCAGGAGTACTGTTGGTAATGGCGAAGGATATAATTTCTCTATCAAATCTACAAATTTACTAGTAAAATAAAACATGCTGAGAGAAAAATACTCCAGTATTTAGTCCTTATGAGGAGTAAGAGTGTAGGGTGTATGTGTAACAAAATATGTGTTTAATTTCTGTGTTTTTATGTTATACTGACTCCTGTTTTTGCCATTTGTAATACTCCTAAATGTATAGGATGGTGGTGTGCTTGGGAAAGTGTAAAGGGGGGGGGGGACCATAGAGGTCAAAGGTCAGAAGGAGGCGCTGGTTAAATATACTGACCTAAGGCCTTATTTATTAATCCTGTGTTTTTTGCCTGGTAGCCTCTGTAATAGCCATGTGTTTGCTGTGCTGAGTCTTAAGATACCTGTTGGGTGTGTCTGAGACCCAGGTCAGTGGTGGTGATTATGACATCACAGCAATTTGACTCGTGTCACCAACGAAAGGTGTTGTGCGATTTCTGCTGTTGTAGTCACCCTCGCTTGTTGCAGTATTAGATCTAAAAAGACCAGGATCTTTTTTTTTTTTTTTTTGCACATTTTTGTTCTTTTTTGTTTGTATCCACTCAAACCTTCCATGTTTCAGAATTGAGGGATGATTCCAGCACATGTAGTTTGATAGCTGTCTCGTCCTGCGTGTGCGTGGTCGGTGGTCACGCCAGCAGATGCCGTGAGCGGAGTCCTTGTGACACTGTAGCATGCGATGGCTTCCCGTGGCTGTCTAATCTTTGGCTTTTGGGGGCCGGGCGTCCTCGGCGTCAGAGTCTGTCACAGTGAATCCATCACTCGGGCTGGCCTGCGGCTGTAAGGCTGTCCTGTGAGGCCTTCTCCTCTCTGAAGCCGGCCGGGCCTAATGCCACTTAATGAGTTTCTCCCTGGTGCTCTAATAAGGTCCGTGGCTTTGATTTGGGAATTTTCCAGTGCCTCCCATAATCTGTTCTGACATGGTTGCCCACCGCTACTCATCTGCCCAGATCATTTTTTTGTTAACGTGTTTT